GTTTGATTGGGAAACTAGTACAGATGCTCCCACCGCTTCATACACTGTTTAAGGACAGAATGACTCTCTACTTAATGATTTTTGATGAATAGTAATGAGAAGATGCTCCAGGGTTCCAATTCGCAGTCCTCTTCAGTGTTGTCTTTTCAAGGAAGCACAAAGCACCTGGATTTCGTAGCTGTCCTGTTCATTAGAGCTGTTTCCTTTACCTTTGCATTATGCCATTTTATTTATTAAAAAATCATTACTTTAAAATTAAATGTGCTCTTTTGATAATCAGTTTCACTATCCAGTGAGATTAACCTTTTTTGAACATTCTTCTAAATGCCTTGTTTCATAATCGAATGGCCCGGGTTCAGACAATCACATTTACATGTAAGTCTGAATTACAGCCATTGGATTTGGAATTGGAAGCCATTTTTAGATATTCATTGTGGATATCATAGCCCCCTAGTATCTGTACTGAACAAAATTAATTAACTCTCCTTTTGCATTTTATTCATTTATTCTAATAAGCCAGATCATGAAATATTTTGAGACCACTAATGATGGTGTCTACCAGATCAAAAATCTTTCAGGAAAAACGGGTGAGATTTCTCAGCTTTTTAGCTGATTCAGGTTTTTTTGTTTTGGATTTCAGCTTTTTTTTTCTCACTGGCTGTGTACAAAAGTATAGGAGATTTTCACAGTCCAGCTTTTTATACCTTTTTTCACTTGTTTTCAGCTATTTTTATCATTGATCGATCTCTTCCCTGGAAAAAGATAATAAAGTCTTTCTGTGGTGTCACCTGACAAAAATCACGTGCTGTCTTTTCTTATTTTGTCATATACATGTACACGTACATGTATTTTCATAATTATAATATTGAAGGTTTGACGTAATCACAGTTCTCTAGTTTTGAAGTTGAAAGTGTCCAAACAAAGCTTTAAAAGTGGATATTGTGCATTTTAGCATACAAGACTATGGCAAACTTTGAGATGCAATTACTTAAAAAACTGCAGGATTTTTTGGAGATGTTTTGACATTACGTTTGGGATGTACATGTACCGTACATAACCTCACATTGATGCATTCAAAAGTATTCCCAGCGTTGCTGAACTCATTTTTACAGCCTGTTTCTTAGTCTCAGCTGATGGCCTGTAAAGCAACATTTTCAAGGATTTTGAAGTTTCTCTTCATCTTTTAATAAGGAATAACATTGAGGAAAATGGGCTGGCATTTTGGCTGCTTTCCTGTGCCTACATCTACATTGGCCAGTCCTAATTTGTTGGTTTAAAGTTTAATTGAATTGACGCAAACTCGGGTACACTGTATATATATACTGTGCATCTTCTAGTGGTACACCGTACATGTACATTTATCTACATGTTATGGTGGAAATCCCGCTCAATGAAAACTGGTGCATGAGCTTGCTCTCTCCTACACATCTAAACATGTACGTGTATATGGTACATGCACATGTATGGTACATGTACATGCACATGTATGGTACATGTACATGCACATGTATGGTACATGTACATGCACATGTATGGTACATGCACATGTATGGTACATGTACATGTATGGTACATGCACATGTATGGTACATGTACATGCGCATGTATGGTGCATTTACATGCACACGTATGGTGCATGTACATGCACATGTATGGTGCATGTACATGCACATGTATGGTGCATGTACATGCACATGTATGGTACATGTACATGCACATTTATGGTGCATGTACATGTATGGTGCATGTACATGCACATGTATGGTGCATGTACATGCACATGTATGGTGCATGTACATGTACATGTATGGTGCATGTACATGTGTGGTGCATGTACATTTCATGTATGGTGCATGTACATGTATACATGTACATGCTTGTTTACACTAGGGATGTATCATTTCATGCCATTTTGTGAACATACAGTTATGCTCATACATGTACATGTACATGCTGCTGACAGTTCTTTCTATGTTTTTTGTTTTAATAATTGATTGCAATTGATCATCCATGGAGATGTACACATATGTTTATGTACATGTATGTGTACTGGTATGTGTAATGTTGCGTATTGGAAGTCTGTGTACATGGACCATACGCTATGCCAAGTTAAATTGATAAGGTTTGTTGGTTCATTGCATCCATCCATTCATTGTCTTTCTGAATTGAAAAACGATGGTTTACCTGTGTTTTATCCATAAAAACTCATTTGGAAAACTTCTTACCTTCTTGACATGCTGCTATACATGTATATTCATGTATATGTACAGTCTACATGTACAGATATGTCCAAGAAGTCCCCGCCTTTGAAGCTCAAGAAACGGAGTTTTTAATTTCACTTTTATCTTGCATAATCACTCATGGACTGCACTCTTCTTGAAACTGATGTGTTTTGTGCATCTTTCTTATTTTTTAGATTAAGACAATCATGAGGCCATTGTTGGTGTTACTGAGTCTACTTGGCCTGATGGTCCATTGTCAAGGGGAGGTGTTTACATCATTGGTTGATCTAGAACATGTCATCTACACTGAGAGCAATATGCTGGATGCATTGAGAGAATATGTCAACCAGGAAGAACTCAAAATACAGAAAGTCAAGCAGTAAGTACTGGTATTTTGAATCATACAAATGTAAATTGTTGCTCGTTTGTTCTTGAAAAAAACAGTTTGTAATTAACGTCAATTTGATGTTGGCCATTCACACACATGTACATGTACTGTTGATAGGTTTGTACTGTACAGCTAATGCCTCATGAAAAAATTTGTTTTCTGAGATGCATTGGATAATAGACATACAGGTGTATATTCACATACAGTGTGTGTACAGTGAATAATGCCACTTTCTCGGATATATCGGACATCATTACTGGAAGGGACGGTATATAAACGTACATGTACAGCAAACACACGTACCTTGTTTTGGAGACATTGGACATAGTTTATGCTGTGAATATTTGGATATTGGACATTACACAGTACTGATAGATTTTACAGTGAATATTTCAGTTTGGAGGGTATTGGACAAACAAGTACATGTACAAGTACAGGCCACAGAAATTTATAGCTGTGCACTTGAAAACTTCCTGTGTTGACTACAAGTACTGTGTACACATTTACGTACATAAACATCCTTGCCTGCAGATTCAAGAACTTTTGATACTATATTTATGTGCTTATACTGGTGCATGTCCATGTAGTTTTGTCTGGTCTACGTGTACATGTACGTCTACATACTGGTACATGTATATATGCCATCTGTATAACTAAAAAGAAAATGAAAATTTTCATTTTATAACCCCTGAAGTTCTCAATATCCTTCAGAAGGAAAACTTGGATTGATGACTGAGTGAAAAGTAACATGCACATGCATAATTGTACATGCACATGCACAATTGTACATAATTGTACATGTGCCATACTTTTGGTAGCGGCAACATGTTCTATTCAGATACTGTGTGTGAATTGTCAAGAGTCCACATACATGTTCACTGCAGAGCAATTGAAAGTAACTTCAAAAGTGTTAAAATGTTTCACATTTTTTCCCATCTGAGAAAATATTCATTTCACAAACTGTGAAAAATTTTCCCCTCAGTGTCAAAATTTTCACACCTTCTTTCCACAAGTGGGAAAAATTTTTACACTTTTTTTCATGGATTGGAAAAATTGATCAATTGAGAAGGAAATTACGGTAACCTCAGCCCCAAAATCGATTTTAAAGTATGAAGTTTCACAAGTACATGTACATGTACACGTAGTTGAATAGTTGCCAAAAAACCCCAACCTCACTTTATTTGTGTTTGAATGTACATGTACATGTATGATTTTTAGTAAGAATTGAGAACAAAATCAGAAGAGCCATCAAATATCATAATACTTGTTATTTGTATGTTGGAAAAGCAGTAATAAAAACAGTGATTACCATAGACAAAATATCAGGCAGTCCGTATCCGCTCATGTACGGCCGCACATGTGAGGCTACCACGTGCGGACGCCATGTTGACTGGCTAAAGTGCACTCATGCCCCTCCACTGCCATTTGGAAACTCATGGTGGGCTTCATCATTCGGCGGTCAAATGTGCCCACATTCATGATCTAAACCTCAATCTTTCTAAGGTGTTTCTGACCCATTCTTTTCAACAGTAGTACCTAGTTTCTTGTAAATGTACCAGAAAGTCTCTAAAATTCCACTTGAAAAAAATCCCCATTTTAGTGGATCAAACGTCCAGAAAAGTTCACCTTTTATTGTGAAATTTTTAATGAGGAGTTCAGGCAACTCAAACCTTATCTATTTATGCAAAAATTGATGAAAATAGTGTGGTCCCTGGGGTAAAAAATCAATTAACTGCATCATGTCTACGAGGAGTCGGGCGACCACGTGTTTGTCCACAAAACGATCCATGTGACAACGTGTGCGCAGTGGCCCATTTCCGTCCCTATGCACGTACATGTAGGCCAAGTACACAACCACAGCTCACATCCAGTGCCTCTGACATTGACGTCATCCAAAATCTATCCAGCATAGACAAGCAGGTCTTTACACTGACGTTTTCACACCTTTTCACATCTTTTTCGCATTATTTTTGCACACAGATTTTTCGCACTGTGCTGTTTTCACACATTTTTGCACCATTTTTTCACATTTTCAAACCAGATTCCCTGTGAATTTGTAGAGGGGGGAAATAGCCGTTAAAATGCAAAATTTACCTGTGAATGTGAATTTGTTTCCCTTTATCATAGTCTGGTTAACTTTCAATTGCACTCTACTGTNTTATCTAGTCCTCTTCAGTGTTGTCTTTTCAAGGAAGCACAAAGCACCTGGATTTCGTAGCTGTCCTGTTCATTAGAGCTGTTTCCTTTACCTTTGCATTATGCCATTTTATTTATTAAAAAATCATTACTTTAAAATTAAATGTGCTCTTTTGATAATCAGTTTCACTATCCAGTGAGATTAACCTTTTTTGAACATTTTTCTAAGTGCCTTGTTTCATAATCGAATGGCCCGGGTTCAGATAATCACATTTACATGTAAGTCTGAATTACAGCCATTGGATTTGGAATTGGAAGCCATTTTTAGATCTTCATTTTGGATATCATAGCCCCCTAGTATCTGTACTGAACAAAATTAATTAACTCTCCTTTTGCATTTTATTCATTTATTCTAATAAGCCAGATCATGAAATATTTTGAGACCACTAATGATGGTGTCTACCAGATCAAAAATCTTTTAGGAAAAACGGGTGAGATTTCTCAGCTTTTTAGCTGATTCAGGTTTTTTTGTTTTGGATTTCAGCTTTTAAGTTCTCACTGGCTGTGTACAAAAGTATAGGAGATTTTTACAGTCCAGCTTTTTATACCTTTTTTCAGTTGTTTTCAGCTATTTTTATCATTGATCGATCTCTTCCCTGGAAAAAGATAATAAAGTCTTTCTGTGGTGTCACCTGACAAAAATCACTTGCTGTCTTTTCTTATTTTGTCATATACACGTACATGTATTTTCATAATACAAATCAAAATTTATAATATTGAAGGTTTGATGTAATCACAGTTCTCTAGTTTTGAAGTTGAAAGTGTCCAAACAAAGCTTTAAAATTGGATATTGTGCATTTTAGCATACAAGACTATGGCAAACTTTGAGATGCAATTACTTAAAAAACTGCAGGATTTTTTGGAGATGTTTTGACATTATATTTGGGATTTACTTGTACCGTACAGCAACATTTTCAAGGATTTTGAAGTTTCTCTTCATCTTTTAATAAGGAATAAAATTGAGGTACATGGGCTGGTATTTTGGCTGCTTTTCTGTGCCTACATCTACATTGGCCAGTCCTAATTTGTTGGTTTAAAGTTTAATTGAATTGACGCAAACTCGGGTACACTGTATATATATACTGTGCATCTTCTAGTGGTACACCGTACATGTACATTTATGTACATGTTACGCTGGAAATCCCGCTCAATGAAAACTGGTGCATGAGCTTGCTCTCTCCGACACATCTAAACATGTACGTGTATGGTACATGCACATGTATGGTACATGTTCATGCACATGTATGGTGCATGTACGTGTTGGTGCATGTACATGCACATGTATGGTACATATACATGTACATGTATGGTACATGTACATGCACATGTATGGTGCATGTACATGCACATGTATGGTACATGTACATGCACATGTATGGTACATGTACATGCACATGTATGGTGCATGTACATACACATGTATGGTGCATGTACATGCACATGTATGGTGCATGTACATGTATGGTGCATGAACATGCACATGTATGGTGCATGTACATGTATACATGCTTGTTTACACTAGGGATGTATCATTTCATGCCATTTTGTGAACATACAGTTATGCTCATACATGTACATGTACATGCTGCTGACAGTTCTTTCTATGTTTTTTGTTTTAATAATTGATTGCAATTGATCATCCATGGAGATGTACACATATGTTTCTGTACATGTATGTGTACTGGTATGTGTAATGTTGCGTATTGGAAGTCTGTGTACATGGACCATATGCTATACCAAGTTAAATTGATAACGTTTGTTGGTTCATTGCATCCATTCATTGTCTTTCTGAATTGAAAAATGATGGTTTACCTGTGTTTTATCCATAAAAACTCATTTGGAAAACTTCTTACCTCCTGGACATGCTGCTACACATTCATGTATATGTACAGTCGAAATGTACAGATATGCCCAAGAAGTCCCCGCCTTGAAGCTCAAGAAACAGAGTTTTTAATTTCACTTTTATCTTGTATAATCACTCATGGACTGCACTCTTCTTGAAACTGATGTGTTTTTTGCATCCTTCTTATTTTTTAGATTAAGACAATCATGAGGCCATTGTTGGTGTTACTGAGTCTACTTGGCCTGATGGTCCATTGTCAAGGGGAGGTGTTTACATCATTGGTTGATCTAGAACATGTCATCTACACAGAGAGCAATATGCTGGATGCATTGAGAGAATATGTCAACCAGGAAGAACTCAAAATACAGAAAGTCAAGCAGTAAGTACTGGTATTTTGAATCATACACATGTAAATTGTTGCTCGTTCTTGAAAAAACTAGTTTGTAATTAACGTCAATTTGATGTTGGCCATTCACACACATGTACCGTTGATAGGTTTATACTGTACAGCTAATGCCTCAAGAAAAATTCATTTTCTGAGATGCATTGGATAATGGACATACCTGTATATTCACATACAGTGTGTGTACAGTGAATAATGCCACTTTCTCGGATATATCGGACATTACTGGAAGGGACGGTATATAAACGTACATGTACAGCAAACACACGTACCTTGTTTTGGAGACATTGGACATAGTTTGTACTGTGAATGTTTGGATATTGGACATTACACAGTACTGATAGATTTGACAGTGAATATTTCAGTTTGGAGGATATTGGACATACATGTACATGTACTGGCCACAGACATTTATACATGTAGCTGTGCACTTGAAAACTTCCTGTGTTGACTACAAGTACCACGTACACATTTACATGTACGTATATAAACATCCTAGCCTGCAGATTCAAGAACTTTGATACTATATTTATATGCTCATACCGGTGCATGTCCATGTAGTTTTGTCTGGCCTACATGTACATGTACGTCTACATACTCGTACATGTATATATGCTATCTGTATAACTAAAAAGAAAATGAAAATTTTCATAATTTTTATAACCCCTAAATTTTTATAACCCCCTTTAAATTTTTATAACCCCTGAAGTCCTCAATATCCTTCAGAAGGAAAACTTGAATTGATGACTGAGTGAAAAGTAACATGTGCATAATTGTACGTGTGTACCGTGCATGTACATGGACATGTACCGGTACATACATGTACATGTACTGTACATGTTTGCAAGTACCATACTTTTGGTAGCGGCAAGATGCTCTATTCAGATACTGTGTGTGAATTGTCAAGAGCCCACATACATGTACATGTACAGTACAGTGCAATTGAAAGTAACTGCAGAAGTAATACAAATTGTGAAAAATTTTCCCCTCAGTGTCAAAATTTTCACACCTTCTTTTCACAAGTGGGAAAAATTTTTACACCTTTTTTCATGGATGGGAAAAATTTTCACACTTGTTTTTCACAAAGTGTGAAAACTTTTCACAAATGGGAAAATGTTAGCACCTTTTACTCAATTGAGAAGGAAATTACGGTAACCTCAGCCCCAAAATCGATTTTAAAGTATGAAGTTTCACAAGTACATGTACATGTACACGTAGTTGAACAGTTGCCAAAAATCCCCCAACCACACTTTATTTGTGTTTGAATGTACATGTACATGTACATGTATGATTTTTTAGTAAGAATTGAGAACAAAATCAGAAGAGCCATCAAATATCATAATACTTGTTATTTGTATGTTGGAAAAGCAGTAATAAAAACAGTGATTACCATCTACAGACAAAATATCAGGCAGTCCGTATCCGCTCGTGTACGGCCGCACATGTGAGGCTACCACGTGCGGACGCCATGTTGACCGGCTAAAGTGCACTCATGCCCCTCCACTGCCATTTGGAAACTCATGGTGGGCTTCATCATTCGGCGGTCAAATTTTTTTTAAACCAGATTCCCTGTGAATTTGTACAGGGGTGAAATAGCAGTTAAAATGCAAAATTTACCTGTGAATGTGAATTTGTTTCCCTTTATCATAGTCTGGTTAACTTTCAATTGCACTCTACTGC